TACGCGTTGCGAAACCAGTCTAGGCTGAACCATGCTTTTACACTCAGGGGGCGCTGTTCATAATGCAGATGTATTTTACATGTGTTTAAATAAGTATTTCCCTATCATGTTTTGTTTGCAAAATATTATTACTATTCAAAGCTGTGGATCCATAATAAATTCAAAAATTTAAAAATAAATAAATAAAAGGTCTCACCTTATGGGGCCTCTATTAAATTTTTCTCGAGAAATGGAGGTCCCAGTGAATCGAGTTTCAACTGCCCAATGATTGGTTTCCGCCGCAATGAAGAGTGAATGCAGGAAGGGGACCAGTGTAACTACATAACAATGAAATTCTCACGTGGGGTGACGCGCATTCATAAATTCGCGGGCCTCGTGGAATTAAAAGGAGCATCAGAGTATCTGCGCAATTTTACAGTCAAAGTAAGTATGCCATTTTTGAGTCGAAATTAACTGTTTTGGACCCTCAAGAGATGAAGTGGCATAGTTAACTGTTTAGAGAGTAAACTGCACTAATCAAAGATAGAACACAGGCGAGTTTAGCACGAAATTCAATTTCGATTGTGACTCGTTCACTTCTTCGTGGTACACTGGTAGGCTATGTTCGGGGGTTCAAGTTCCATAATTCACGGAAATCACTTATTTCCATTGCAGCAGTCTATTAGGCATTTAGAAAGTGATACCATGTCTAAAACGTCAAATTTAGCAGTGAAATTTTTGAAGGATTACCTTGAAAAACATTTAGAATTTTCAGACCAGTCTTGTGAGGTTTATGGCAAGGGCGTCATCAAGTGATGGCTGGATACGGAATTCTTAAAATGCCACATTTTCTTCCAAAGTCGTCCACAAAATGGCACAAAAAGGTTTGAAACCCTTTGGGTAATAGGAAGACGTCCCAAGGAAGCAAAGATAATTTGGGAAGTATATGGCCTTACATTCTGGTTTGAAGTTGGATGCATTCCTTTAACATGTCCGATGTCGCATGCTGCCATACTCCCAGTAATTATTCCCTGCAATGACCTAATAGCCATCAGAAAGCAAACACAACAAACAAATAGTAATTATTCCCTGCAATGACCTAATAGCCATCAGAAAGCAAACACAACAAACAAATAGAAAAGTTCAATTTAGAAGGGAAAGAGTCTAGTCGTTTACTTAGAAAACACAGGAATGTTCTGAACAGTTCCATAGGGTTTGTGCACAGGTTGTCAAGTGGCGTCCGTATGTAGAACTCCCCCCCCCGCCAATCAGAAAACCACTCGGACTACACAGTAGGTAGCGAAATTCGAGACCTGGCGAGTACACCATCAGGGACGCGAAGACATGAAACCAGAAAGAGATTCCTTTGTGAAATTTGTATAGTCAGTTCGTTGTCTGTTTGTCATCAGTTGTCATGCAAGTACAAGTGCAAAAACAGCCTCACTACTGGTCCAAAGTCATACTACTGGTCCAAGGTCATACTTCCCACATTACGTGTGCTTTTGTTTTTACATAGAGGGTCATGGAGCCATTTTGTGGAGGATTTTTAAAGATTGGAAGTTTATCCTTTTGGCAAATAAATACTTGCAGGGCCCTAAAAGTAAGGATTGAACTAAAGTAGACGTGGCATCTACTCAAATTCTCAAATGTATGAAGCTGTTGACTTTTAAGATAAAATTGGGATGGAGTCTAAGGTTTTGTCCTAGAGCCTTTAAATTAGAGCTATCGATGATTGGGGGAGTGATTTAAAATTGTATTTTGTCATTTTACAGATGATTCCTGTGCACCTTGATTTCAATCGGCGAGGGAGACTGGAAGCAACACTCCCACAAAGAGTCCACATAGCGCCCGCCAAGAGCCCACACAGAGCCCACAAAGAGTCCACATAGAGCTCGTATGAAGAATGTTGCGGTGAAGATGCCTGCATAATCAAACTCAATGCAACAAGATTCTGCCATTTGAACTGGAAGTGAGACAATGGACCCTACGATCAGACAAGATCGTTGAAATTGCCGTAATCCAGCGTTAGCCTGCATGCCACAGGGAACGAATTGAACGTGGTATTGGCTTATTTGTAAAATACAAGCCAATTCTGTTCTTTCTGATATACTGACTCGCTATGCATCAATTGAGGGTCATGTCAGTAAATAGTATTTTGCGATCATTTCCTCATAGCCATGAAAATAATCCCACCAATCACTTTCCATAAGCCATATTAACCTCAACCAACCCTCAACCACCAATACGTGTAGTAAATAACAACCCCATTAACCATAACCATTTACCAAATGAACCTCAACCAACCATCAACCGTGAACCGTAAATAACCCTGACAACTATAACCATTTACAATGTAAACTTAAGCACTAACGATTGACAAAAATTAACAATTCCATTAACGGCTTAAACCCCAACTAACCCCAACCATTAGCAAACAAATAACCACAAGCCATTACCCCTATTAAATGATTTGCCAGTAAACCAGTAAACCATTTCTTAATTCAAATGAGGAAAATGATCCGTCAAAATGCTATAAAAGACTTTAAAAATACACGCAGTTTATGTACTTCACTACGCAAAATGGTTTCTTGGATAAAATAAATACATAGTCTTTAACAAACGAGGGAAATCAAGATTATCTGTCCGTGGACTCTGAGCTTTGACTTTGAGAGATGAAAAGGGGGGAATTCGTGGACAAGACACAGGCAAGTGATTGAATAGAAAAAGCTGTCTTGAAGAAAACAGAACAGTGTCGGTGAGGAAAAGATCGAGAGGATTCTGAATGATGTACTGGAAAGAATGGCTTATGTCTGGAATCAGTCCCACTGCAGCTATTGTCGTTCAACTTGAAGGAATATCCATAGAGGTGAGAATTACTCATTACAGATATTCAGTCTTTTTATAGCATTTCACCCAGAGATTCTGTAGTTTTGAGTGTCGGAGGACAGTACCCGTAGCAACCAAACCGCTATACCTGTAGCGACCAAAGAACTGGCCCCATGACCGCTGGTGTTATGAACAAAATGCCAAACTCGAGTGTGTCGCACATTTTGTACACTCGGGTTCAGAGCTTCATGTGAGCTAACTTATCTCAAAAAGAGATCATTTGAATAAGTGCTGATAAATTCTCCTCTGATTTCTGATTTAAATAGACCTACTTTTAATATATAAGATAATCAGTCACCGCTTCAATCAATCAGAATCTGTGGTAGAGGTGTTGTACAACAAATATTGACTGCTGAATTTTCTTGCGGTGCAGGAAAGCGAGCCTCCTGATATGAAGTGATCCATTTAAGGTCAAGTTGTCGATATCATTTGCTGACGAATGAAATAAAATACCATAAAATGCACTCTAAGCACTTAAATGTACCCATGCTTTCTTTAATCAATCATTGTCATTACTTCCTTGATTCCTAAGCGGGTATATAAATTGTTTACTTTCTCATTAATGTCTGTTAATGTAAAATGAATGCTTTTCGTTTCTACAGGGACCACATTCTACTTTGACGAGTAACCTGAATTAGTGGAGGCAAAGAAACTGGAAATTTGGTACAAGGTAAGTTATCACCAAAAGACCCTGCTTGTCTAAACCAATTCGTCCATCGCGCCATTGAATATACTTTTTACTTTTCAATGTCTCAATGCTTGATTGACTTTGCTTGATTTTGCAGGATTCATCCGATGTGGGATAAAGGGGATTGTTGGTTTAAACGGTACAACAGCAGATGGGTCATCCCAAGTAGAGACCGGGGAATTCAAGACTTGCATGTTCATAAGGTGAGGTAACCATTTCTTACAGGCGTGAACATGCACAAGAACCCCGGATCATAGCAACTAGGCCTGGTAAAGTAGCCCTTCGTTTTTTGTTTAAGCAACGTTGAAACCTGTTTTTCAATTTTGCTTTTTGAGCCATTTGGGGAGTCTGAAAGCATTGAAAGAAAGTCTCTTGAGAGCATTTTTCCTGGTATCTTCCCATGTTTGGTAACTAGTCCACAACCTTGCTAAGAGGCCAATGGCGGAAAAAATATGTTTTATTGAAATTGGTTTTGAAAACTTTCTGTAGAATTCAAATCGATTTTTTGATGTTTGCCAAGGTTCTGTTTTAGCAGTGACATGGATCACTTTTAAGTCAGGTTAGTACTTTCCCAGAATGGTTCAACTACATGTCGTGATTGTGCGGGGTGGTGGTCTCTCGCAGGTCATCGGCTCAAATTGAGCATTTCCTGTAAATCTGACTTTGTAAGGACTATGGGATCATCTATATCCCGATGTCCTCAAGACGGGTGATGGGATCTTCTATATCCCTACATCCCCAACGCAAGACAAGCTGGACTGTGGGATCTGTTATATCCCTATGTCCATCCAGGGGCGGATCTTGAGTGGCTATAAAAGGGAGGACAACTTTAACTCAGCTCCTTGGGGAGCTTGCATGTTAAAATTATTTCAAGCATCAAATGTCATAAACTTCTCTTTGAGAGAAAAAAGAAATGGCATGATTGTCATAGCAACAGCATCAAATATCTCATTGGTGTATGAAAGAGAATTGGGAAAGGCGTTGTAGGGTAATGTTAGGGAACTTGCCCCTGGATCCGTCCCTGCTGCAAGGCTCCAAGGTCATCTCTAGGGCATACGTAACTTCCTCAGGGATTTTTTGTTAGCAGTGAAATGCAACAATTCACTAC